GCCCATATGGGAAAAGTTCTAATACATGTGTATATATACACACAATCACAAGTGTATATTAACTAAAATCAAACATGTACTTTAGTCAAACAAGAACCATCTAGCCAAAGACTTTAAACTAGTTTTCAACTGAAGTCCATATTTATTACACATGGGCGATGTACAATTTTTTTCTGTTCTGTTTCTGTTGTTTTTTCCAGTCAATTCCATCTTTTGATGTAGTCCTTGTGTAGTGATAGTACATATACATTATCTCATTTTATTTCAATCAGGTTTAATTAACAGGAGGCTTAGCGGCTTTGACGGTCACCTGAGATAAGTAATATCGAATATAGAAGTTATAGGGTAAGTAGCTTTCAAGTGTCATGACAAAGAATGTGACACTGATGATAGTAAGCCAGTGTCAATATATTAATACCATCAAAACTGTCATCCTAAACAAATAATTCTTAACAAGTTATTTCCAATGGTAAATAAACAACTTATGCTCAAAAATCTATTCTTCTAAGCTCAAAAATCTATTCTTCTAAGCTCATTCTTCTATGCTCAAAAATCTATTCTTCTATAAAAATTATAGTAAACTTTATCTCCTCCCGAGGAAGAAATGTAAGTCCCAGGAGTCAGGAAATTCACTATTTCAGCAAAGCACCTACAGACCCTTCCAATCACAGAGAGTATTTGATTTTGTCAAATCTAGGTGTTGAGAAGATTTGTTAAATGTAAATCAATTTGACCTCTTTTGGCCCCATCCAGCAGCCCCTGGTGGTCAGTCAGGATCAATATGTACATACCATCAAGCGGTCATCCTATACTAGTAGTTCTAACAAAGTTTTGAAATATTTTCAATAGAAAATAAACAAATTATGCTATATGAACTATAGTAAACTTTAGCCCCTCCCAAGGAAATGTGAGACCCTGGGGGCCATGAAATTCAACATTTTGACAAAACACCTTTAAGATGTTTCCATCCATGAACAGGATTTGATTCTACTGTATCTGGGTGTTTACAAGATTTTTGAAATTTTAGTCAGTTTGATTCTTCTTAGGCCATGCATGGTTTCTGCAAAATTTCATTGAAAATCAGTTCAGGGGTTTGAATCTGGACAAAAGGAGATCGCAATAGGTCACCATGAGACTTTGGTGACCTAAACAGTGTTTCAACAATGCCTTTAAATGTAAAATGGTTGCCAAATGGTCAGTCGGAGAACCTAATATTGTTTTACTTTCTCTGTGGCGCAGAAAAACAAAACTAACTCATAATTCAATTTAATGTAATAATACTTTAATACTTAATACTTCATAACACATTTTAGCAAATGAAAGTACATGTACATGACATTTCATACACACTAACACTATCTGATTGTTCTCAGACTTAACTTAAATGCTGTTCAATGTAAAATGGTAAACAATCAAATGATATGTACATTCCCCAAAGTTCTCACCATATAAACTGAGAAAGGTATATCAATATCTTAATATTTTGTGATCCACTGGAATCTTAACTACATACTGTATGAAGAAACCTCAGATATAAACCAAATGACCCCAGCAACATTCTCAGTGTTAAAAATCAACTTACATACAATATATTTTTACTTTTAAACAAAACTGGTAGAATGAAAACAATTTGCCTTATAAAAATGTTTAATAGTCCACATATGTGTTTATATTAATTATGTATATCAATTCTAGAACTGATACACACATTCTAATGGAATCCTATGAGGTTGAGTTGTCTTGTCTGCATAAATATCCAGCAAAACATTGCATTGAGGAAATCTAAAACTGAGTCACTTTGTAGAAATATGAATCCCAGTGTTGAAAAAAAAACAAAACAGAGATGAAATAAAAAAAGCAGGTGAAGTATTTACCTCTGATTTTTTAAAAATGTTTATCTTGGTATAATATGTTTGCAGTGATTCATTTTCAAAAATCCACTGAAATTTACCAAGTCAATCTAGCAAATACAAAATTGATACCTATTTATTTGTTACTAAGCTGCAATATCACTGACTGCCTATTACTGGATATCTATATAGTGTCTTTCATAAACACCAATTTTGTAAAACATTTTTAAGTTTTACCTCCAATCATTAGTCAGTGGTAACAATGATATGACTACAGCTGAAACATTGTAATGTTATAACATCCAGACCAGGCTTTCTCAGGCATATATTGTACAATAAATACTATCAGAAGAAATTTCTGAAAAATTCCCTAAATTATCAGCAAAACAACTTTACCACATTGAGATACAGATGAAATTATTAATATCAGTTAACTGTAATATGAGAGTACACATTACTGTCTGTGAATAATATTGCAAATATCAAATAAGTGTCTCACATAACCTAACTAGTTCATCTTTGTTTTGTTTTCACAAGAAGAAAGATATTTCATCTGGTAGTTTTCAAAAACAAGAAAGAGAGAAAATAAAACTGAAAACAATAATGATAGGTATTCACAACACAACATATTGAGGACAAAGTCAAAAATTATTCTGTTTCCCCAAAACACAACTGACGAAAGACAACTGAATGTAATATATTTGTTATACATATTGACCTTTCACTATATAAGCACCATCTTCCTACTTTTTATTTATTCCATATATTAAAGCACTAAATACAGAACAATAACTGAAAATGGGTTCCAATCTATTATTAGCAATATTTTATTTCATGAAGATGAATTTTCCCCAAAATGAAAGCATTTCATAAGTGCCCTCTAACCTCCACCCAAACTTTTAAGAGCCACCAGTATATATTTTAGCAATGCAAATATATTAAATAAATCATGCTAAAAATAGTATTAACAGTAAACATGAAGAGATACAGTTGATATATCAAGATTGCAACAGTAAATATATATGTAAACCAATGCATTAGTATCATACTTCAGCTTGATGTTAACTTTGAGCTGATAATAAACATAATAGGTGTGAAGGGAAAAAGTCCCTGAACACTTTATGGATTGTCACACATTTGTATAAACACTATTCAGTGAATTGATTACTCACAATCTTGTTAATCCACCAACACTGAGCTACCCAACGCAAAGGGGTTTCTGTTAAAGCCAGGACTTGTGGATTAGTTCTAGAGTGGTGTGATGTGTGTTCAGTGTATGGTATGAATGTTTGGAATGAAACAAATACAAGCCAATAGAGCTGCTGGGGCTCCCTTTTTAAAGTGAAAGTATCTTGCAAAGTAGGAGAGTACAGGTTTAGGATTGTACTCCTGGCAATCCTTCCACAGGTCCATTGTTGTGTGAATAAATTTGCATTCTGTAATCTGAAGTAGGATATGAAGAAAGATGGCTTTGAAGAGCTGAAGCAGAGAAATAAATTAAAGAATTAAATTGATATGCAAATAAGGATAGATTGACATTAATTTTGATTTTTTTTTGTAGTATGACCTGAAGGATTTTGATAGAGCACACATTTATGAGTGCAACTTAAATCTTAGATATTCGTTTGAAACAAATGATAATTGTATTGTATTAATTGTAATACAATGTCAAAATCTTTGGGGATTGGTAGTTTTCAGAATTTGTTTTAAAGCAAAGAACCTTTTAAATGACATACAATATCAAATAAAACAAAACCTTATCTAAACCAGAGACACTCATATAATATTGAAATTCATAAAGAAAAGATTCCATACAATTACTAGTAATAACAGCTTCAAGCAAGTCCTTATAGACTTATGACATCAAAGTTCACAATAACTTTTAAGTTTAGCAGTTATGTATTACACCTCAGTCTAGCTTGTTAATAATATACTCCAAATCTCAGTTAAGAATGTATGAATCTCATGTTTGACAAGATATAGGGCATCTATTGAAACAAAATAAATTTGAACATTACATCATAGACTTTTGCATTAGCTATACTTTGTTACCAATAGCTGATCTCAAGATGTCCTGTGATTTTTTTCCACAGGACTTTTTGTGACTGAGTAATTGACATAATTTTGGCTGTTATACTCTGTACCTCAGTTTGACTGTTATATTCTGTACCTTATTTTGACTGTTATATTCTGTACCTTATTTTGACTGTTATATTCTGTACCTTAGTTTGACTGTTATATTCTGTACCTTAGTTTGACTGTTATATTCTGTACCTTAGTTTGACTGTTATACTCTGTACCTTAGTTTGACTGTTATATTCTGTACCGATTGTTATACTCTGTACCTCAGTTTGACTGTTATATTCTGTACCTTAGTTTGACTGTTATACTCTGTACCTTAAATTGACTGTTATATTCTGTACCTTAGTTTGACTGTTATATTCTGTACCGATTGTTATACTCTGTACCTCAGTTTGACTGTTATATTCTGTACCTCAGTTTGACTGTTATACTCTGTATCTCAGTTTGACTGTTATATTCTGTACCTCAGTTTGACTGTTATACTCTGTACCTTAAATTGACTGTTATATTCTGTACCTCAGTTTGACTGTTATACTCTGTACCTTAAATTGACTGTTATATTCTGTACCTTAGTTTGACTGTTATACTCTGTACCTTAAATTGACTGTTATATTCTGTACCTTAGTTTGACTGTTATACTCTGTACCTTAAATTGACTGTTATAATCTGTACCTTAGTTTGACTGTTATACTCTGTACCTTAAATTGACTGTTATATCATGTACCTTAGTTTGACTGTTATACTCTGTACCTTAGTTTGACTGTTATACTCTGTACCTTAGTTTGACTGTTATATTCTGTACCTTAGCTTAACTGTTATAGTCTGTATCTAAATTTCACTGTTATTTTCTGTACCTCAGTTTGACTGTTATATTATGTACCTCAGTTTGATTGTTATATTCTGTACCTTAGTTTGACTGTTATATTCTGTACCTTAGTTTGACTGTTATATTCTGTACCTTAGCTTAACTGTTATAGTCTGTATCTAAATTTTGTTATTTTCTTGACTGTTATATTATGTACCTTAGTTTATATATTCTGTACTTAGTTTGACTGTTATATTCTGTACCGTAGCTTAACTGTTATAGTCTGTATCTAAATTTCACTGTTATTTTCTGTACCTCAGTTTGACTGTTATATTATGTACCTTAGTTTGACTGTTATATTCTGTATCTTAGTTTGACTGTTATATTCTGTACCTTAGTTTGACTGTTATATTCTGTACCTCAATTTGGCCGTTATAGTCTGTATCTAAAGTTAATTGTTATAGTCTGTACCTTAGTTTGACTGTTATACTCTGTACCTTAGTTATATATCCTAACCCAGTTAAGATGTTTTACACTGTACACAAACTAATCTCAATTTTGATAGTCAATATTTTGTACCTCAGTTAAGCTGTTACACTCTGTACCCAAGATTAGCTCAATTTAGAAGCTAAATTATTTGTAACTCAGTTCAGCTGTTACATCCCAAACATTGAGTTTAGCTCCATTTACAGCTAGTCAATATTCTATATCCAGTTTAGTTTCATTTAGCTTGTCAATATTCTGTATCTCATTAAATCTTTATACTCTGTGCTTTAACCATTTGCTCATAGAGCAATAGAGCTACTGTACACATCTGAAAATTAGTGGTAGCTCTAGCTGTAACACAGTGCCTCTGATTTGTCCATGGTTTGGCACAGATAAGTTTCATATTGCAATATAATTGTTATACAGAGCACTACAGTTACATAGCCATGATACAGTACATATCTCAGACAACACCTCAAATTTCCTTTACAGTAATACACAGAACTCATTAAAGCTAAATTGACCCACTGAATCTCCTATATAGATGATATTTCAAACACTTTGCTATGTTTGTAGTCTCTCTGGTGCTTAAATCAAGCAACATATAAATTGATCATGAGCTGATCAACTTTTGATGTAATGCTTCTTGGATAATGAGGACAGCTGTATAGTATACAAAGCACTTGTGCACTTCAGAAAGAGTTCCTATAACTGAATTGTCACACAACCATGGAATGCACGAGTCTCAGTCATTGTTTTGCCGACCGTCCACGTATCTGTACTTGTGTCGTAACACTCAACTATGTTGCTTGGGCGGGAGTCAACAATGCCCCCAGTGATATAGATCTTATCGCCAAGCACTGTGGCCCCGCTGTGCTTATGAGCATAGTGAGTGTCAGCTAGACTCTGGAATGTGCGTCTGCTTGGATCTAATGCTATCATTTTCTTCAAGTCTTCCCATATAATGTAAAATATTCCATTTATGACAAGAATTTTGGCAAACTGAATTGGTTCTGGCAGGATGAACTGTTCCCCAGGTGAGCGGAGTTCACCATTTTCTGAGCACTTGTAGCTGTCCATTGTGTCAACCTTTACCCCACCCTCTTGACCTCCACCTTGTAAACCACCAACTTCCACCAACATGTCCCCGAACAACACCACCTGGGACTGCTTCCGTGGAAATGACGACCGTCCAACCATACTCCATGTATTTAGGATGGAATCATAACACTCTATATGGTCAAGGTCAACCTGTGAGTTAAAGGCATCGTATGTCACGCCACCGAAAACATAAAGACGATCGTCAAGTGCTTCAGAAGCATGGCGGGCACGAGGCTTCAGCATGGGTTCAATCTCTATCCACGTCCGTTTGACACTGTCAAATTTCCAGCAGTTTTCTATAATCCTTGCGTCAAGGATACCCCCTGTCACAATTATGCAGTTGGACACAGCACACACACTGAACCATGACACAGCTTTTGGGAAATCTGGCAAGTCTGACCATCTGTCCTTCTGAGGATCATACATCTCTACTTTACGTGTTACATAGCTATTCCATCCACTGACCACTACCATCTTCTCTTTAGCTACAGTGGACGGTCGGGGATGAACCTGGCTGTTCTGCATGCTTCTTCGGCGTCGCCCATGTTGGTCATGAATGGACTCATGCTGTTCTTGAGCCTCCTTAACTAATAACATACACTTCTCACAGCTTTGAATCAATGGGTCCTGTTCGATCATTTTCAAACGAGTCAGATCTACAATAGGCAGGCGTACAAACTCCAATAACTGAAACATCAAATACTTCCGGTCATCAAGGTCATAATGTAGCCATCGCATAATGGCTTCATACACAGTTTCCTCTGTTCTCACATCAATCCAGTCACTAGATATATACACTTTAAGTCTATCAGCACTTAATTCAAGAAATTCCTCAAACTCAACAACGGCACTGAAATTCTCTAAAGCAAACTTGTGAGCATCATCCTGAAGTCGTTTACATGAATGTAACATAGCAAAATTCTCAATACCCAAGCAATTTGATGGGAAAAGTTGACATTTTAGGAACTGGCAGCAGGCTTCAATGATTGCAGGGTAGTTGAAAAGACTACCTGCAGCCAAAAGTTCCTGGGCGTTGTCAGTGGTGATTTCCATACGTCCTGTATAAACATAGTCAAGAATTCGCTTCATGATCCAAGGTGAAACTTCATTTATGGACACAACAGTCTCCAGTCCTTCACGTAAGTCGCTGGTGAACATAGCCTTAAAGTAGGGGCTACTAGCAGCCAGTATATTTCTGTGACATGGGAACTCCTCCTGCCCAACACAAATTGATGCATCAGTGAAGACGCGTTCACTGCGCAGTGTGTTTATGCGGCGGAGAATGTCCAGACCATAGTCTGGGTCTTGTAGAACCAGTGTATTTTGATTAGCGGAATTGGACATCCATGTCAGTGTACCACCTGGTAGCTCTGACACATCCATAATTATCAACCTCCTGAGAGAAACTGTCACAAATCTGCCTGTCTCTCACTACCAATAGAATCTGCATAATCTTGGCCACAGGTTTTGCCAGACCACTAATTACAGTGTCAAGCTGGCAACCAATGCAACACCTTCTCAGTAACCTGCTGTGCTAACTCAATCTGCAAAGAAAAAAGAAATTGTATAATCTATAATCCTGTCCACCATGCCGGGCTCTATATTAACTGCCAATGATAAAAATATGTATAGATCTATCAGGTATTAATCCTTGCATTCAGTCAACCAGTCAGTCTCCTACATTAGCTTTGAAGTTCTTGTACAGTCTGAGCTGTAAGTGTTGAGATATGAACAAATAATGTTTGTGTGCCAGGTCATTTTCCTGAATCAGTGACAACATTCAACTGCCCCCCCCCCCTCCCTCCCCCTCCCTCCCCCACCCTCTCCCTGTATTCTACAGGTAATTTAAAATCAAACTGTCAAGGCAGAATCATAAATCAATAAATACCTTTAAATCACCATCAAATCCAATAATATTTTATCTGAATACAGTCGACAAGTTGTCACCAGTGATATCAATAATATTTCATCTGGATATGGCAAAATGCCTGCCACTAATGATATCAATAATATTTTATCTCAATAGGGTAAAAAAAAACTTGATTTAAATAATATTTTATCTGAATATGGCAAAATGCCTGCCACTTATGATATCAATAATATTTTATCTGAATATGTCAAAATGTGTGCCACTGATGTTATCGAAAACAATGTACCAGAATACAGCAAAACACTTGCCACCAGTGATATCAATGATATTTTATCTGAATATGGCAAAAAGCCTGCAACCAGTAATATCAAAAATATTTCTCTGACAGCAAAAAACTTGAAAATATATTAATTATCAATGCCATTTATGAATACAGCAAAATGCCTGCCAAAAATGATATCAATAGTGTTTTATCTGCATACAGCAAAATGTCTGCCACTAGATATATAAATTATATTTTATTTAAATACAACAAACAGTCAGACCCAGTAATATCAATAATATTTATCTGAATACAGCACCAAGTCTGCCTCCAATGATCTCGACAATTTATCTCAATACAGCAACAAGCTTGCAATCAATATCAGTTTTGATTTTAATACAGAAGCAGTTTCCATGTAGTATTTTATGTTAACTGACCTTTAAACTTCATGATCGTTACGATATCAGTACATATATATTTAAGCAAATCAGTTGGAAGCACTTCAACTATGTTTTTTAACCATCTTAACTCACCGAGAACCAAACTTACTTTTGGTAACGTAATCTATTTACATTAAATTTAAGTTCACCAGTTACCCGATTTTGATTTACTTAAAAGGTGC